CTTTACTGAACTATATCCAATATTTATGGCTAGTTTTGTGTCAGCAGATGACCTGAAGCCATAGATGAAACTTTATACACTTCTCTAAGAAAAACAGCAGCCAGCTTCCACAACTGGAAAAAACAACATAAGAATAGACTCATCATTGTTTTCATCTCTACCTACTGAGAGGGGTTATGAATGAACTCATCCAGTATTTCCACTTCCTGATCAGATGCAGTGCCTGCAATCCAAAGGATCCTTTTTAACAGGCAAGCATCTTCCTGCATGCTCCAGGCATCTAATTTCTCCTGGCCACAGGAGCAAACTGAATTCATATTGGTAGCTGCTCCAGAATTATCTCTCACGTTCCTGAAGTGTTAAATGACCTGTGTCAGAAGTCATGTCCTTGATCAAGGTTCAATATGCCAGTCTTGTACTGCAGCCTACATTTTACAAACACAGAGACAAATGAACATTCATGGGGTAACAGAAAAACAAAACATCAGAGGCAGATTAACCAAGCTTCTGCAGGACCAGTGAAGTGGGACATCCCAGTTTCTAGGCAATCATCTGAACCTCCAGGTGCATGAAATTCGTCACATCATAAGCAGCAGCAACTTTATGTTAGGCAATGATTCTCTCTTCCCCCAATGCCAAGCCTGAACAAGACAGTCAAATTTCTCTCTTTAATCACATGACAGATCTGTAGGTCTTCCCTTGCACAAGGTCTTCTAGAATGGATGTGGGTCACAGCCGTTGTCGATATCTGAAGAAGGCCCATATGGCAGCTACTGTTATTGCCAGCCCAGGCACCAAAATCACAGCCAAGGGAATGCCTCCTGCCTCTCCATCCCCTCGGTGGCTTGAAGGACCATTCTGGGGCACCTGCTGCAATTGGAAAAGATGAGAGGGATTACAGGCATTACATCACAGCAAGAAATGGCAGCAGTCTTTCAGGGATGTGCATTTCTCAAACCATCCAACATCCTCCAGTTGGGAAGCTGGAAAATTCTGCTCCAAGTTAATCTTCAATGAAGCAGCGAAATTCATTAACTCTTGATAGCTTGCACACGTATTATACTGTGATGAGAATTCTCTACCTTACATATTTTAAACATACTCTTCCTATAGTCAACTTCACATGCTTTAATGTATTCTTTGAACAGAATACCTGTACACCAAGGCATGTACGTATGTCAACTACTTGTGAATTACCTTTCTCCTTTCTTTATGGCAACCATAATTATGTCTTCCTTAACCACAATTCTTCCATGAAGCTTTTAATAAAATTAATCCCTCTAATCAAACAATTTCATCCACAACCACACTAAGATACATGTACCTTGTGTTTACCCTTGGCCATGCATCACGTTTTTACACTGCTTCTTTGGAACAGGATCCTGCTTTATTTATTGCTAGAAAGTATTTCCCATAATAAAGACACCCACAAGGTGATTTTTTTTTTTGCTTGTCCAATTCATGTTATTTTCCAAGCATTTACAGAGCTGTACCCAGACCAGCACCCTCTATATGTGCTGGACTACAGTAATCTTGTTCCCCAATAGCTAAGGTACTTGGACATCACAGGAAATTCCAACACATCTGGAAAGTGCAGTTTTCAAGGGGGAAATCTCCTTTGCCATGTTAAGAAACCCATAGAGTCTTGTGGAGATTATCTATCACTCTGCAAGGGCCCTTCCACAACTTCTTTCAATATCTAGCCGCCTAGAGTGGTCACAACTGACTAGATAGGCGGGGTATAAATGAAATAAATAAAATAAAAAAATAAATCTGTTTTTTCCTCAGAGTTGAAAAGGCACTAGCAAAGTTGCAAGGAACAACACAATGGACTGAAAATGTTAATGTTTAATATGTCTGTAATCACAACTAGTCATCTCCAAGGAGCAGTCCAAAGGCCGCAGTCTTTCAGGCAATAGTGCCAAATCTCAGGAAGTAGAAAATACACACCCTGTGCTGAACCTTTAATGAAACATTGTTGCCTGCATTCCTGAACAGATCCACAGCATGCTGGTGCAGCATGTTCTTCAGCTCCTTGCCATTAACCTGTGGGGGGTAAAACACAGATCTGTGAGAGCCATTTTAGGTTGAACAATTTTAATCACAACTTGGCAAGCTAGCTTAGGCTGGGGAATCACTAACCGATGAACTACAGGCTTAGGTACTAAGAATACTTTTTTTGTTTCTCTTATTTCAGAAATTGGACGGATAATATGTAGCACATCCTAAATGTTTGGAGGGTTTCACATTTTTTCCCTTTCCTTTTTTTCCGTAATTTACTACTAATAGTAGTAAAATTGCTTCCTATTAAGGCAGTGTCAACATTTTATGTTTGTTCTCAACACGAAACATTCTCTTTAAAAACTGAATGCAAGCATCTAAAAGCATGAAACAAAATAGGAACACAATCAACTCTGAAATGTGGTAAATGATAAGGTGTGGTAAATTAGATTGCAAACCCAAGGTTCTTGCCCCCTGCTGATGCAGGCCTTGCCAGCTCCATCCAGTGGCAAGCAAGGTCATTTCTGTATGAATCAGCTCTTGGCAGCTAAGGTGATTTTCTCTTGATGGAGGTTTTAATTTGGTTAGTGCTGATATGTGCCTTAATTTGTTTTTTTTTAATTGATATTTGTTTACGTCTCTATTCTACCTCTTTGTTACATCATCTGTATTTTATCACTAGCTGAAGGAAGCACTAATTTTAGTGGAATATCAGGACAAATATCTACAGTATCAATAAATGTTCACTTACCTGGGAGAAAGTATCACAAAACAACAACAGCAACTGCTTCTGAGGATCCAGGCACAACACAGGGATAGGCAAAGTGTGGCTTTCCAGCTATTGTTGGACTGCAGCTCCCATCAGTGTAGTCAATAGTAAGCAGCACTAGGAAATACAGTCCAACAAGATCTATAGTAAGGACGTAATTTATACAGTGGTGCCTCGCATAGCGATCGCTCCATATAGCGATGAAATTGCTTTGCTATGGCCTTTTTGCCATCACAACAGCAATCGCTTTGCGATGGTCCCTATGGGGAAAATTCACTCTGCGATGATCGCACGGCCACCCGCTGTTTTGCCTCGCTTTAGAAGCACTGAAAATGGCTCCCCCTATGGAGGATCTTTGCTTTAAGGTTAGTTTTTAGCCCATAGGAACACATTGAAGGGGTTTCAATGTGTTTCTATGGGCTTTTAAAATTCGCTTAGCAGCGATTTTTGCTGCATGGATTAACATCGCTAAGCGAGGCACCACTGTACTTGCAAAAGTTCTTGTCCTCTGAGAAGACGGGGGTTGAGCCACCTTTTTGAAAAAATTATAAACCTCTGCAACTTTAAAGTCCTATTTTGGTCCTGCATAAAAGCTAAAAGACCAGGGCTTTTCATCAATAGCAACATTGGCAAAAAAAAACTTGTTCTTGTACAAAATCCTTTTGGCACAAAAATGATGTATTTTACATAAAATATTCTCCACAAAATATAACCTTTTTTGTGCAAAATGCAAGGTGTTACAAAATTGTAATGATCCTTTCCCAAAAATGTTTCAAAATATGAAAAATGCACAGTCTCAAACTCTCACCCAGTGGGAAAAAAAATCTGAAATTGTTTGTTCGTGCCTATGAGAAAATAAAGATTTATATCGTGAATTTGAATACAAGCAGCACTGTGTGCCATAATTCCAGCAAATGGTGCCACTGAATCATGCCAGTTTTATTAAATTATTATTCTAACCTAGACGCTGTTCCAAGTCCTCCATACAGAGCACGATACCATAGTCTTTCGAGACTGAAGGATGCCTACTACTATTCTAACCTTTATGTTTCAATAGAAATTATGATCTGGTCATAAATCACTATCTCCCAGGGGGAAAAAGCATATAAGCAGCACCCTTTAGATCACAATTGCAGAAGTGGGAAAATCTTAGCATATCTTTGGTTCAGAGAAAACAACACATGTAATTGTGACACACCAACATCAAGTTTTTTATGCTGCTGTAATTTCCTTTTAATTCTTCTAGCTTCTGAATTAGTGGGCATAATCCTATTACATACACCAGCATTAGTCAAATGGCACAAACCATAATAGCAGCTGCCAGCTAAGGAATCAAGATTTCATGTACCAAATCATAAAAGCCCTTGAAAACAAGCTTCTACTTCTTAACTAACAGGAATCTGATTTATACCACTTGATTTATACCAGCATACACAAGTAAAAAGATTCTGGTCAATGTGAATTTAATTGCTTTTGGACTCATTTTTTTCTGACGCTTTTGCTGTATATGTTTTATTATTTTAAAAGTTTTACTGTGTTTTAGGCTGCTTTGGAAGAATTTTATTTAGAAAAATAGCCTATAAACTGGGTAAAATAACAATACCTTGTGTGCAAGGATGATGCAGTATTAAGTAAAAAGTTCAGTAGAAGGAATGCCCTGTGTCAGAATATACTAGAAAAAACTATGAGTACTATAGTGCACTAATCATACTACGCACCTACTGGAAAGTGATAATCAAATTCAACACAGAGGTGTGTACACAATACATTATCAGTGTGCAAGAGAATCTGCAATGTGAGGCTAGGCTCCCAGCCTTCCTGGTACAAATCAAGACTCGTGACATACCAGAAATGTAAGGTTTGTTTCCTGTTGGAGGCAAATAAATCCATACCTCCAAGTGGAAGAAAAACATTATGAACTCACCAGGGAATTTTCTCTCCTTCATTCCAGAGGCAGATGAAGTTATAGGCAGGGTGGATTTGGTCTACCTTTGGAAACGGGGATAAATTATTTCATGCACTTGTCACAAAATAAACTTACATGGAGAACGAGACAAAGCCTGAGCCAAGGGAAGAAACCTAATTGAGATTGATGGAACTGTACGAAGTTTCAAAAACTTCATATTGAAACAATTTTGCTGAACAAACTTGAACTACTCACTGTTAAAATTCTATCTCCTTCTTGCAGGCGTCCATCAAGTGCAGCAGCACCATTTTCTTTGATCCGACTAACATAGATGCCAGTGTCATTCGCGATGTGCTGTTGGTCTATCCCGCCGACTATATTAAATCCTAGGCCTAAGAAGCACAGCAAATTACGTAATTAGAAATGAGAATGTCCAAGCCTAGAAATAAAACACAATACATACCATTCCTTTCTATGTTGTGCCAAAGTAGACATTATTTTAATTGTGCAGTTAGCAATCTCACCCAGTTTTTTAAAAAATAATATGAAATACAAGAGGGGAATTTTCATGAGGTCCACAACATGAAAAGAGGCTTCCCCTTTCCCTCCTGTGTTGCAGTGCAAATGAAATGATTCAGTGTGGCAAAAAGGAGCTCCCATCAGCTGCAATGGAAGCATTTCCCAACAGTATTACCCTGAAAATAAGCCCTAACCTAAAAATAAGCCCTAGTATGATTTTTTAGGATGCTTGCAATATAAGCCTACCCAAAAATTAGCCCCAGTTAAGTGAAACCCTGCCCTCCACCATTGTGCAGCAACCAGAAGATGACATGAATGCATTTGAAGAAATGTAAATTGTTGTACATGAAAAAAATCCCCTAAAAATAAGCCCTAATGTGTTTTTTGGAGCAAAAATTAATATAAGACCCTGTCTTATTTTGGGGGGAACACAGTAATTGCCAGGGTGGTGTGAGATTTTCACCAGGGTTATACCCTGGAAGAAAAGGGCTAAGTTCTCTCCACCATTGGAATCTTGATAAAAATTCCTATTTTTGCCAGCTTTTTTCTTTTCCAAAAATTCAGGAATGACTGCCAGCAGCACAACTAACATAATATCAATTTTGGCTAGAGATGGGCAATTCGTGCCAGTTCATTTCTCAGCCAAACAGATGCTTGGCACTTCAAAGCCCCACCTCCTCCAGCCAGCATCCATTCAGAGGCAGCAGCCTGGCTCCCTGCATCTCTACTTTTGGTCATATACACATCATAGAATCATGAAGTTGGAAGGGCTTATCAGGTCATCAAGTCCCATTTCCTGCTCAATGCAGGAATACAAATCAAAGGATATCTGCCAAGTGATTGTCTAAATTTCTCTTGAATGCCTCCAGTGTTGGAGCACTCACCACCTCTTGAAGTAATTAACTCCACTGCCATACTACTCTGACAGTTAGGACGTTTTTGCTGATATTTAACTGAAATCTGGTTTCCTATAACTTGAGCCCATTGTTGCATGTCCTGCACTCTGGGCTGATTGAGAACATACCTCGCCCCTCCTCTACATGACAACCTTTCAAGTATTTGAAAAGCGGTATCATATCACTCCTCTGTCTTCTTTTCTCAAAGCTAAATATGCTGTGTTCTCTCAGTTGTTCCTCATAGGGCTTGGCTTCCAGCCCTCTGATCATTATTGTTGCCCTCTTCTAAACTTGTTCCAATTTATCAGCATCCTTCTCGAAGTGTGGTGTCCAGAACTGTACACAGTCCTCAAGATGAGGCCTAACTGGTGCCAAATAGAGGGGAACTAGTACCTCACGGCATCTGGAGACTACACTTCTGTTAATGCAGTCTAAAATAGCATTTGCTTTTTTTGTAGCCACATCACACTGTTGGCTCATATCCAGCTTGTGATCTACAACAATTACAAGATCCTTCTCACTTATAGTATTACTGAGCCAGGTATCCCCCATTTTCTAACGGTGTGTTTGGTTTCTTTTTCCTAGGTGCAAAACTTCGCATTTATTCCTGTTGAATTTCATTTTGCTGTTTTTGGCCAAGTGATAAAGCCTATCAAGATATTTTTGATTTTTTTTTTGTCTTCCAGCTATTCCACTCAATTTTGTGCCATCTGCACATTTGATTAGCATTCCCTGAACCCCCTGATCCAGGTCATTAATAAAAATGTTGAAGAGGACTTATCCCACTTGTTACCTCCTCCCAGTTTAAGAAAGAAACTATTACTCATCACCCTCCAAATACAATTCTGCAGCCCACTGTATATCCACCAGAC